CTCTCTCTCTCTCTCTCTCTCTCTCTCTCTCTCTCTCTCTCTCTCAAATTTCAGGCTCTGCAATTGCTCTGACACTACAGCAGCCGCGTTCTGCTTTGAAACGTTTCTTTAGTTTGTTATTGCTACGAGCTCTCACAGAATTCGCTCCTCCCACACTAGGAAAACAGAAGGGGAGGAGTCAGCTGAGCTCCTGTGTAGCAGAGCGCAGAGAGGGAGAGAGAGGAAGTAAACCAACAAGCAGGAAAATGAAACTTATCGTCCTCATTTTTTTCCGACCTCAAAATAACTTATCGTGCAATTAATTGATTTATTGACTATCGCGACAGGCCTATTGGCATCATCCTATTAGAAATCTTCAGCTCTTATTGGAGTTGTTTGCAGCTCAGATGAGGATTGTCGCCTTAAAATCTGAGGCCGAGGTCCTTAGTGAGAAATATGTGGATTGCCCTTGCTGGGTTGGGAGTGAGGTGCTGCCTCAAGTGGAGGAGTTTTTAAGAATCTCTAGGTTTTGACTATGAGTAAGGAATGAATGAGACATGAGATCGGTAGAGTCCAGCTTCTGTAGTATTGTGCACTCTGGCTATTTGACTTTTAGACCACGGTGAACCAGCACAGTTAGGGATGCTACCGAAAACCGGTATTTTTTCAGTACTGGTTCCACATGATTAATTTTGACTGGATCAATAAGCTCCCGAAATAACGGTGCCATTAACTGTACCGGCATGGTGCGGACACGGTGCATGCTGTGTTGTTTAGAACAAGCTCCTTTTTCCTCTCTGCCCTCTCACTCTGAGCTCTCCTCAACACGAAGGGGAGGGGCTGCTAGCAACACATGCCGCTAGCAACACAGGCTGCTAGCAACTCGCTACCCGCATGCGTAGAAAAAGACGTGACATCTCATTCATTCAGCGCGGTGTTTACAGAAGTAGCCTATGGAAGCTAGTTGTTAGTATGTTGATTCTTAAGTTGCTGTGCAGTCAGAGCTGATGAAATAATTATCTGACCTGCTTGTTTAGTTCAGTGTTTATATCAGAACCTGCCTCTGGCCGAATGCTCCTGTAAAGCATTTATTTTTTGGAATGTAGCATCATGTTTAAACTAAAGTATCGATTGAGTAACTTTAGCATTGACCGCTCGACATCACTATCATATTTTTCTGTGGATTATCAGTCACCAAYYACATGGGAAATTAAAAGAAAGAAGACAAAGCAACTAAACCTGATGAAAATATGGTTCATTTTCTGTCACCAACACTGACCCACAGAGAGTCACGAGCACTAGTTTTTTATTTTATTTATTTTTTGTGTGTAACATCCCACCACCACCACTTCCCTAGGGGGAAACACTGGTTTTTCCAAAAGCAAAGTATCGATAAGAGAACCGTTAAAATACCAGATCGATAAGCAATACAGATAAGAGCAGTAGTATCGATAAAACCTTAACAATACCCATCCCTACACAGAGTACACATTATTGTTTACTAGTCAGTCAGTCTACAGCAAGATGAGGTCAAGATTTACTAAATAATTACATTTAAAAATGACTACTAGCCCTAGTTGCTACAAAATAGAAGTAGCATAAGGAATATTGCCACCATGCCTTTGTTTATTAGACCTGATTCCAAGTTGAGGGCACAGGTCTCTGCTACTGTTCGTTTTGAGGATCAATGCCTGACACTTATTTTTATTTTTCAGTTTTTTTTATCCTCTCTTATTTCTATTTTACTATTGGATGTTGTTTTGTTTTTACTGTTTGATGGGACTACAGATGTAAATTAGCCTTAGATCTGGCGCAATGCATTAAATTATGTTTTAATTGCACATTGTCCAGAACAAATAAAATTATATACAAACGTTTGGGAATCACTGGTCTACGGTGCTACCTTCACCTATAATCACAAACTCTGGGTAGAGATGGGGTGAGAAGTTCACTTCTCTGGGAGAAACTAGAGTAGATGTGTTCATCCTCCACATCCAGAAGAACCAGCTGAGGTGGTTCAAGCATCTGATAAGGATGCCTTCCTAGGGAGGTTCTCTGGGCCTGTCCAACTGGGAGAAGCCCCCAGAGAAGACCCAGGACACGCTGGCTGACCTGGGATCACCCTAAAAAGAGAAGTCTGAGCCTCCCTGCTTTAGCTGCCGTCTCCCTCAACCCGACTCCAGAACATGAGAATAATGGATAAAATAATAAAACTGATGTTTGCTCTGAAATTAGCAGCAAGTTAACCATTTGCCTTTCTTCTTTGTGATGCAAGATCAGCCAATGATTAAAGGAAAAAGCAGGATCTGTGCTGACAACCCTGAATCATATAAAGACCAGAAAAACACAACAATCACACCATTAGCTTTGACGTTGTTACTTTATTCTAACGTTGAAACTTTTTTTTAATTAAATAAGCAAAGATCTKAAACATTAAATAATTTGCAAACTGGAACAAGCTAGTTTGGGTTAAAAATAAAGCGAAGCCTGGCTATATTTATCCCTCTGGGTCTGCTTCAGGTTGTTGTTTTGTTTCCTAAACCTAGACTATKATTTCTTTAATTTTCGGTAGTGGAAAAACAGTTGCGACCCAAACACACGGCCAACGCACAGACTCCCCACGAACAATGATGCTCGTTCCCCGTTAGCCTCGGAAGCTAACGTTAGCAGCTAGCCGGCGGTAGCATTGGAGCGCTTCGCTTTGTGCAGTTTTCTTGGTTGTTTGTCCCGGTTTAAACGCAACTCAGACCCGGATATTAGAAACACGGATTTATCTCACCGGTGCGGGACCATGACCCGCTGCTGTAGCTCCCCCTCAGCGGCCCTCTTGAACATTTAGAGCCCAAATATTGTTCTCCTCCTGRGGCAGCGGGACTCTTCCATCTTCCCTCGGCGCAATGCATTCTGGGAAACAACAGAGCTCATTAGAATGATGAGAAAACACATCATTTTCATATAGAACTCAAAGCATTTTTATGATGATTTTTGTCATTGAACAGACAAAATAAAGCTTGATTAATTTATTTATATTTATAACTATAGCTTTTTAATTTGTATCATTAACTGAGAAGTCATTGTAAAACAAACAAACAAATAAATAAACAAACAAACACAAAACATGACTTTCAAACGTGGTTCTGCATGGTTCATTTTTATTGTGCAAAGGTTTGCATCATCTTTCATTATTGCCGATGTCTTTTAGCAAAATATCTCATGAACTAGCAAATGGAGTTGAAAAACATTATTTATGGAGTTAATCRAATTCAATAAAGCCACCATAGCCAACAAATAAATGGCAATAACTCAGTTATTTTTAAAGTCTGGTAGCTGAGAGTCATTCAGAACATACTCCCGAGCACCACATATTGCACAATAATTCTAATAATCTGGGGATTAACTGTTAAAACATCTATATTGGGTGAAGCATGTCTTTGTTCTGATGTAACCTCAAACAAAGAATTATTTTTATTTAATGTTGGTATTTATTTTTGTCATCTCATAAACCTGCAGAGCCACAAGGTTTGGTGATTTCCTGCTTATTTTGACTCCTCTGACTGGGGAAAACCCTGATGGCAATCAGCATAACAGATGGCAGTCCTGGCAGCCTGAAAGCTAATCCTCCGCTCTCTGTGGGATCACAGCTGTGTGTGAGCTCCCTCTGCTGAAAAACAAGTCCCACATCAGTTATTAGACATTTGCCCACAAAGAGATTGTGTTTAGTTTAGTCATAGTTCTTTAATTTGCCTCCACACAAAGCGCTCCCATTCTACTTTTAGAAACTCCAGGAACCACAAGTAAACCTGCAGTCTGAGAGTGAAGTGCTCTGCTTGGAAAATAAGAAACAATAAAATAAGATGGAGCTTAAGTGTAACAGCAGCATCATAAACCCAACTTCACTGAAGGCAGAATGGAATAACTTTTACAAAATGAATTTTAATAATTCAAACAGAGCAGATCTTTTTTCTTGTGTGTGGCTTGAGCGTATTTCAGGTGTGAGCTGCCTGCAGCGTTTTAAACATGAATCACCAGCAGCAGTGGGCGTCAGGAGGCTGGCTGTTCTCATTTCTCCAAGTWAGGTAAAATGAATCAAAACAAGGTCTGATAAACAGTAAAAATGCAGCTCTGTGAAGAGATTTATCTGTAAGTGAGATCTGTCATATTGCCCTTCAAATCAAATGATAAATCCTAACATTTAAAGGACTTTTTGTTGCCTAATGTAAGTTTATCTTCAGCAGCAACAGCAAACATCAGATTTGAGTTCTAGTTCCTGAAACAAGTAAATCATCTAAGCTGTACAAATCATTATACCTCAGTAGCACTAATATTTTTCTACTACATTCAGTTCAGTTTGTTTATGCAGTGCCAGGTCACAACAAACGTRATCTGAGTGATCTGTACAAAGAACAATCAACGTGATGAAACCAGGAGATTGTGTGGAATCACGTCACAGTCCCATCCTGAGCAGCACATTGGTGACAGTGGAGAGGAAAAACTCCCTTTTAATAGGAAGAAACCTGCAGCAGAACCAGGCTCAGGACAGGCGGCCATCTGCCTCGACTGGCRGGGTTTGGAGGAGKCACAAGCAAACAAAAAAGGACTGGTATGTGCATTTTCCTTTGAAAGAGAGACAAAGAAAACACGTTACTGATAGAAGTAATTACATTAAACATGTAAAGGAGAGACTAAAGACAGCAACAGAGTGAGGAAATATTGTCAGTTTGTCCTAGCAGAACTAAGGAATAATTCAGGAAACCTAAGCCTAACTATAGGATTTATTAAAAAGGAAAGTCTTCAGTAGGGATTTGCTAAAAAACTGATTCACATCAGAATTATGATTCTCATTTACAAATATTCAGAATCATTTTAAAATGTCCCAAAATGAAATTTTAAATAAAAAAATCAAATCCAATAGCTGTCAGCCTCTATTTTGCAACTATGTGGGACGTCCTGGTTGTCACCACGCAGTTGGTTCTGAAATGCATGCATGCGCAGAAAGCATCAAAACAAATAGGAAACTATTGGAGGAAAGAGAAATTTAACTGGCCTTAACGTCACTGAATGCAAATATCTGGCTTTTGTTTTTTACTGAATGAGTCTGAGTTTGTGCAAGACCTGCAAAATGAAGACGAAGCAGTTTGCGAACACAACAAATGGGATCACATTGAGTGTTAAATGAAAAAAATAATTTTGAATTGAATTGTGAGATACTAAAAGATTCCCACCCCTAGTCTTCAGTCTAGTCTTAAAAATAGACAAGTGTTAGCTTCACGGACAGAAACTGGAAGTTGGAGCTTGATAACTGAAAGCTCTGCCTCCCATTCTACTTTTAGAAACTTGAGGAACCACAAGTAAACC